TTCTTAATTCATTGATTAAATTCTCATTCACCTCTTCTTTCTTACTCTACATTAAAATCTCATACAGTTTGCAACAATCTAAAACTGATTTGCTTAATTTCTTCTCACTCTCTTCTCTTTTTATCTGTATTCTTGAATTACTTAAATCTTCTTTCTACTTCTTTCTCTGTATTACTCTTATATTCTTTTCTTTTCTTTCTCTTTTTCATATTCATCTCATATTTTTCATGTTATTTCTTCGAATTCTTTTTGTTTTTTCCATGTCAAATTTCAAAACTCATGTAGTTTTACAATGATAAATAAGTATTAGAATGAATTTTCCTCTTCTTTCTTTCTCTTTACTCTGTTAGAAGAAGATAAATGTTTATATATAAGTATAGCATGCTCTATTGATTTGAGACTAGTTGATAAATTATCATAGGTGACATATCTTGTCTCATCAACAAAAAAAAAAAAAAAAAAAAAAAAAAAACAATGGAAAAAAATGGAAAAAAATGGAAAAAATGAAAAAGAGGAGAATGAAAAAATGGAAAAATGGAAATGAAATTGAGGCGCCAACCCAACCTAAACAAGCAAAACTAGTTTCAAAAAGGCAATTCACAGGTCCACCGGGCCGTTTACACAGTCAATTCAATATAGTAAGTAAGGGCATTTTGATGCTCATTTTAAACCATTACACATTTCGATTGTACGCGGTATGCATAGAGGCATGTTTACTAAGATAGATTTGCCTCTGAGTATTTGACTGAGTTGATTGATTGATTGGTTGATTGATTGAGTGGAATGAAATGAAGTGCTTCCAACATTGCACAAAATGGTTCATCTGAGAGAAGGAGACCGAATCCTCTAAAGCTGAATTCTGTTGACTTTAGATTGACTGGCTCATGTTTTAACTTGGTTTGCGTAGAGGCTCCACAGGTACGTTGATGAAAAAATACGTGGAAAATCAAGCACGAAACAGATATTCACCATCGAGATTCCTAAATTAGGTAGTGGCCCATATGTCAGATTTTTCTTTTCTTTTCTTTCCTTTGGTTTCTTTTTTTCTTTTTCTTTTTTTTTTTTTTTTTTGTGACATCAATTGTAATTTCTAAAATGAAGAAGAAAAACGAACCTTCGCCTCTCTCGCTGCCTTCAAATTTGTATTGAAATCCCTCCACAGACGGTTAATTTCCCCACCTTCTTCCATATCATCCACGACCTGGTTGGCATACTTTGAGCGTCGTTTTTGGCTCCAGTGCTCGCGTTCTAGGACCTTAGTGTCGGAAAATATACCCTTGCGTCGCAGGTAGTCTATGACCCATTCGTTGAGATCGTAGCGCCAATGGATGAGCGTGTGGGCCATCTGGGCTTTGGTTTTGCAGTGCCTGGAAGGGGGGGGGCGAGGATTAGTTAAGAAGAGTAAAGGGGGGGGGAAATATAGTATGATTTGTTCCGCTATTCTCTACCTTCCCAAGTAAAAATGCGCGTTTGCATCTGGGATCTTGTTGCCTTCGCGATCAATATTCCCACGTTCGCGATCACCGCTCTCATCGTCGTTTTGCTCATCACTGTCGTTCTCGTCATCATCGTCATCATCATCATCAGATATAGGTTCCAGTGTCTCAAAGAGGTAGGGCTTTCCATCAAATTTGATATCAAACGAAGCGGGGTGATTCGTCTTATTGCAAGCGTCGCATGAGTGGCCCATCGAAATGGGATATAGCGAGATATCGATGCGTGGTCTAGCTTCAAGAGCCTTTCTAAAGTCTCTGTTCCAGGCTGAAGAGATAAGTTGTGACCCCGCTAGACCCATTACCTCGTCATTTACTTTGCTGAACGCGACGGGATAGACAACATCGTCACGGGGAAAGGCAGGGTTTAGTTTGTTATGCACCATCCACTCAACGACGTCCTTGAAATGGTCTCTTAAACGCTTGTATCGATGTCTTGTAAATTCGAAGGGGATGTCATTGAGTTCATCTGGAGCACCTAATGTTCCATCCTCGTCTTGGTCGACGAAATCATCTTCATATTTGTCAAGGTCCTCTGGTAGATGTGGTTCGATGTCACTGTCCTCATCTAGATTAATCCATGCATCCTCCTCTTCCTCCTCATCCCCCTCATCTTCCGATGACGATGAATTTTCATTTTGTTCTGCGTTGGATTCTTCTCCCGATGACTTCATAGATCCGACTTCGCGATTTCCCCCTCTTCGACGCTTTAGGGCCTCCAGCTGGGTTTGCCGCTTTAGCCTAGCTTTATCCGCTATTCTCCCTCGAGTTCTTGTCTTCGTCGTGGCTGTGGTTCAATTTTAGCAATGTTAATCTTTCAAATAATGTAAAAGAAATACCAATGTCATACCCGAATCGCGAAGGTCTTCTAGATCCTCTTCTAGATCTAGTTTATCTCGCTCAGCACGGTTACGCGGAGTCTCATCTTTTGAAGCTTTAGATTGCAAATTTAGCCTCCTTCGTTTTGCAGGAGATGAGTAGATAATATCTTCAGACTCTTCCCCATCATCTTCATCTTCATCAAGATCTTCGACAACCAATCGCTTCAGTTGCCTACGGCTCGAAGAAGGCGCGCGAATGGATTCTTCATCTGATGATATGTCCTCTCGTTCGCTTGATAGGAAAAGTTTCGAAATCGGCTCTTTCTTTCGCTTAATCGGACTGCTCGAACTAGGAGAACTGAAGCCGTTTTTATATCGCATGGTTGCGACTCTGTCACTCCCAGGACTTCGCTCACCACCCCCGGGAGAGGAAGTTGCCAAAGGAGTGAAAGTTAAGCGGGTTTGTCTTTTGACATTGCGTTTTCTAGCTGGCTGTGCTGACGGAGGCATGATGAGAAAGCTTTCTGGACTGAGGTGAAGGTCATATGCGTTTGTTTTGCTATGCCCTCACTTTGGAGGGCTGGGCGCATACAAAAATGACGGAAAGGTGCCTAAAGATCGTTGTTCACAGCTGGTGGGTTCATACGCAAGAGCACGCTGCTGCTCCTAGTAAAGACCTCCAGTAATATAATATGATGGCGGCAACAAAATTAACGCGCGGTCGCGCCTGCGCTGTCACGTGGAAATGAACGCGTATAACTATTCATTACTACCGCATTGGGAAGGTCTGACGTCAACTTAATTAGGCTGCTGTCCACACTTTAAATGCTCATGGGGCACTTGTTCAAGCGTCTAGTCGCCCGAATGTATGATGGCAGAGCTTCATGTATCCAGGCCCTGATGCAGGAATAAGGGCATCCCTAGATGCTTCAATTGACGGGAGCTTCCCTGCTCTTGCAAATCCCCCTCACTGTGCCATCTAACCAGAAAAATGAAGAGCCAGCCACATTATCACGTTTCGGTCTCTTGATACAACTGTGTGAGCTGAAATCGGGACAATCGGGCAACCCTTGACTTCATGTTGATATCTCCCTCATTTCAGACTTCTTGATATGATGATGTAAGTTCTATTCACCTTAGTTAAACCAAGTTTTCGACAGAATATCCACCAATGATCTTCCATTGCTAGGTTATTGGCTCACTGAACAATTGAGCACTTCAGCGCTATTCTGTCTAGGAATTACCCCAGGCTGTTTGGTGATAATTTAGATTCGGTGACGTTGCAGCCACCGTGTCAACTGGCGGAGTGAGGAATTGAGGTCCTCCAGTCCCCAACCATGGAAGAACCTGATTTATGGTGGCCACTCCAATGCGACAATGGTCTGGTTTACACATATCGACCCGCTATTGCGGCTACCTAACCATGACGTCAACAGTTGAGTGCTTTTTTAGGGCCGCCGTTCCCTCCTCTATATCTAAGCGCATTAGCAGCTTGTGTCCTTTGCGCACTTTTAAATTTATATTCTATTCTATTTTGAATATTCTTTTGCTTGTTTGGCTCCAATTCGACTATTTCTACTCGAATATCAATAATTGCGCAAACTTCGAACTTACCAAGCTACCACCCGAGATACCCTGATATTTTGATACCCCTGAAGGGAAAAAGCCCAACACAGTACTTGCTAGTCGCCTTCCTTGCGCTGGCATTTCCTTATCAATCGAGAGCCTTGTCTGAGCCCACCGCCTTAGTAGTTCACCCCCTTTGGTTATACAAGCTATATCTTCGAGTCCCCATCACCAATACTACGACTCCTTGTCCATCGCTAGCGTTAGCATGGATCGCGGCACAGTCAATGTTCCTTCGGATTCAAAGGTGAAGGAAGCGGTATGTATTGCAATCGCCGGTCTGTCACAAACATCTCTTCTAACGCTCGGCGAAATGTAGGATATCAATCGCAAACTTCAACTCTACGGCATTTACTCTGGTTTGTAGCATCCTTATGCTCTCAGTGCCAGGTGCCATTAAACATTCATCGCTAATTGCAATACCGGGTCCCAGCATTCAAAAATGGGAGGGTTCCATCGGTATGTTCGTATGGCCAAAAGTCATGAGCGTCTTCTGATAAAACATCTCTAGAACAAACAAATCGATATCGCCCTGAACAGCCTCTTAGCGTCAGGCGCCCTGTCTTCGCCTCCTGATAATCTTTCGTCCGATGGCCACGTACTCATCAAAGACCTTCGTGATGTGATCGAGAACGCCAAAATGCTTATCCTTGTCAAAAATGAAGGCAATCTGATACAAGAGCTCATCTGGGACTTGGAGCATATTGGAGAGCGCACCACGTTGCAGACACCAGAGGTTACAGTTGACAGAGATGCTGCGAAACAGGATCGTACGCGAGCTGCTGAAGGGCTTCAAACGCTCGCTACCTTGCTGATAACTAATGGCCAGTTCCGGAAGCTTCGTACGTATCCCCCACGGGCGTGCTAAACTGAATCGCCCCCATGCTAACAATTCGGCTCCTAGTTCGCGATGCGACAATCCTAATGCGCGATATGGCTAGCGATGCGGCTCAGAAGGCTGCAGGGAAGATCAGGCCTTCAGAAGAAGAGATGGCAGGAATAGACGAGCCTGCGGATGAAAATGTTTGGCATGATAAACCTGACCTTTCGAGCGCCAAATTTAAGTCACAGGTTAAATCACAGGTGGGACAAAAAAAGGAAAAGGTAAGATTGCAGTGATTCGTGTTACTATCCATTCCGTTACTCATATCTCTCTAGGCGAGCAAAAGCGCCCGAGACGCAACGGGAACTGCAGATCAAGCAGCTCGTCCAAGCGGCCCTGAGGGTGGCGTTGAAGCCACATCCGGTGCAATCACAGGGGCTCAGGCAGTCGGAGAACAAGTATCTGAGAATGTCCCAGAGGAAACCAAGACCCGATCCCGTGAACTTACCGAGAGGACAAAGGAGTTTCTCCGTGAGAAGATGCCCAAGGAGCGACGCGATCAAACAATTTGGCGCCTAAAAAGGATGATTGTGGAAATTCAGGGCCATTCTGACTGTGAGCGATACACAGAATTGGCGACAATGCTAGAACACTGCTAAATGCATTTTTTACTCTAGACCAACAAGCAATTGAAACGCTTCTTTCGCTTGCCGAAACTTACAGTGGCCATGGTAGAGGCATCTCTCAGCAGGGTGCTTCATCTACAAAAGGTGTGTGAGCGGTTCGCCGCCATTCGAATGTAACCCTACTAATTGTGCGGCTTTAGGACTGGTAGAGGAAAATAAAGATGTGATGAAACGACTGCAGCTTATCCTCGAACGCTTCGCGAATAGTTCTTCAATGGACAATCTGCTCGATTACGTCAAGGATTTCTATCATGCCGCTGATGAGGATCCTCGACTAAGAGACTGGTTTAAATCGGTGAATTCTTTTATCAGGTAAGCCTTGAACTTCCAGAAGTCTTACATCACGGTTAATGTCTAATCACTGGGTACTTCAGGAAATGCCTTCGGGAGCAAGGATATGTTTTGGAGGATTCGGCAAATGAAGAGTGGAATAGCCTTTACGATGAAGGCCAATTCCTCCTCCGCGACAAGTACCGTGAGAATATAGATTCCATAGTGGATGAGATAAAATTTCTTGGGGACCAATTTGACCAAGATCCCCTGAACAAAGAGTTTGGCAACTCATTGCAAAAACTTTTTCACGATCTCGGCTACGACGCCTCTGGAAAGATAGTATTTAAGGAGCATCTTATGAAGGATGTTACCAGCATCATCTTGCCTTCAATCTTCGAGAAAATACGTTATGTCCCCCTACCCCGTATTGAAGTATCTGACCCAATGGCTGATGTGGTGAGTAACTTTTATCGGACACGAGTTGAATCTCAAGTACTAATATAATTATGAAGGTGGTCGAAAACCTTGTCCTTGAGAGCGACAATTTGCTGCCCAATGTCGTCGAACTTAGTAGTGACAATTACTGGCGCTGGGGTCGCAAGAGAATCGGAAGCAAGCATACAAACAAGGTTAGTGATGTTTTGAGCATTCCGTGTCTGTTGGTGGCGCAGTTCATTGAACATACTGACTCCCCTTTAAGGTCATGGTAGCAGCGACTGGGATACAAACCGATTGGAGAGATGTCAGTTATTACATCAAGAAGAAAACTGGGTTCCCTAGTCTCACTGATACCGGAGTTATGGACATAATGATGGGTGGTGAAGGATTCAACTTCAAGGTTTCCGGATCCACCAGTGACGTAGCCGACAGCCTATTCAAGCCAGAAAAGATTTCCGTCCATGTTAACAACCTACAAATTAAGCTCAAGAAGTCGAATCATAAGATTCTTTTCACGCTCTTTAAGCCTCTACTCTATGTTGCGATGCGCCCTGCCGTGGAAAAGGTTCTAGAAAAACAAATTCGTGACACCTTTGTACGCGGTGACAAGTTCGCATATGCTGTGCATAATGAAGCGCAGCATGCTTTGGAAGGCTGCTCGCAGCGACCCGCAGCAAAACCACACTATTTACTCGTATTACGTTGATGCATTTCGCAAGCAAGTGATGGACATGCGAAAGAAAGCAGAGGAGAAGAAAGACACTGCGAAGAAACGAGATACCAAAGTTAATCTCGCAGTCACGGAGCCTAGTGCTCTTTTCCAGAATATCAAGCTGCCAGGTGGCATATCTTCCAAGGCTACAGTATATCAGGAGCTTGCTGCCAAAGGCGACAGATGGGAATCGCCTGTATTTAGCATTGGCGATGCTACCCAGTCTACGAGCCTGCCCAAGTTAGCCCCTATTACACGCAAAACTCGCTCTCGGACTACGGCCAGGGACTCGGGAATTGGCTCGATTGAGGAACCCATCAGCAAGACCGACCAGACCATGGGAAAACGTGGAATTGGAGGCACTCAACTGCCTAGCGGCGCTCACGTTGTCCCCGAAGCCAATATCCAAGTCTGATGGTGTTAGAATAGGAGTGATGGGATAGTTTCAACTCTTTATTCAACACCCTATTCCAGCTCGTGCTGTTTTTTTTCGGTTCTTTTGGAAGTATGCAAAATCACCTTGTCTTATTATGATAATGATACCGAATTCTTGTTTTCTCTCGTCCATATTCTTATTCCATGGAAAGGTGGATAATAATTTCCAGAGTCAATGAAGCTCAAATGCAATCACCGGGTAATAATATCTCTTCGAGTGGACACCCATAAGAGGATGGTTGGATGGATATCTTGTTGAGCGAATTGCTGTGATGGTTTGCCTGCGAGCAAGACGCCCCTGTGTGTGTTTTTGTCTGTTTGCTGATGTTTTCGGGTAATGATATCTTTTAATAATAAATTGCCTAATAGTCTTGTAGTTAATCAAATGCTGTGTACTTCATAGTTACATATAATGAAATATCAGACATGGTTATTGCCCCTCCGGAGCTTTGCGTTGGGGCAGTCTTGGCATGCCCAAGCTTCCTGCCGAGGATCAACAAATTTGTCTTTTTCGTATCCAACAAACACTCCAGCTTTATTTTTGTTGCGCAACATAATTAATAGACAACCAGTGGCCGTTTCCGTTGCCCGTCCTAATCAAATGTTTCTCAGATAACGGCTATAGGTATTATCTTCTCAATTGAGCGGACAAAGAACTTTAGCAACGCCATCCGACTAAATCAAGCCAGGCAACGCAGCCCAAAGCCAACATTCAGAAACCTGGAACACCCACTACAAAACGAATAAACAAACGGAGGAGGAGAACAGACCTATATAGCATTTAGTCGAAGCAGGCGGTAGAAACAGATTATCCAAAACAAAAATGGCGGGATCCAAACCCCCCAATGGCAAGAATCTCGTCAGCAAACCACCCTCCACGGCGGCACAAACCTACCTCATCTGCTACAACACCCTCTCCTTCACCCTCTGGGCCACCATAACCATACGACTGATATTCCTCCTCGCCCGCCTCGTTCCCACTGGCCATGTCGCGCACATCTTCGATGACCTATTCCCGCTCCTTCTCTTCACGCAATCCCTCGCCTTGCTGGAAATCTTACACGCGGTCGTAAGGCTCGTGCGTGCATCCCCTATCACGACGGCGATGCAGGTTGGCAGCCGTATTCTAGTCGTCTGGTTTGTTATGTTCTTTTTCTCGGTGGATAGGATTGGGAAGGAAAAGGGGGTTGTAGGCGCTACGAGTACGGAGCCTGGGTGGAAACTGGCCGATTGGATGGTTGTTGGCTGCTTGAGCGCTTGGGGGATTACGGAGTGTATTCGATATGGATATTTTGTGGTGCAGGTTTTGGGTGTTGCAATGCCGCGATGGTTGCTTTGGTTGAGGTATGTTCTCTCTTTTTTTGTTACTTTTTTTTCTTCTCCACTCCGCTTGGGTCGGTGGGTTGGTTGATGGTTTTTGTTTTGTGATTGCGGCTGGTGATCGTGGTCGGCGCTTGTCTTCTGGATTTTGCTTATTCATTGCCTGACCGGAGACTAACTTGATGACCCTGTCAGGTATAATACTTTCTTCGTCCTCTATCCAATTGGTATTACGAGTGAGTGTACATTGATTTACAAGGCCATTACGCCGGCGTGGGATATTCAACCCCTGGTTGCGTGGTTTTTTAGTTTGATACTGGTTATCTACGTGCCTGGTAAGTTTCTCCCCTCTAATCGATTTCCCCTCTTCTTTATTCGATTTTGTTTTCTTTCAACATTGCATGTTATTTTGCTTGTGTTGGGATCGTGATCGCTAACACTTGTCTTCATGATAGGCTCATTCATTCTGTATACGCATATGATGTCTCAAAGGAGAAAGGTATTTAAAGCCTCCAAGAAGGCTGACTGATTAATAGCAAGACTGAATAGATGGCGGAATTGGCGTAAAACGGGTTGGAATATGTATAGCAATGCGATTTACCTGGAGTTGATCGGAGACTTATGTCGTTTTGGCTGTATTATTAGAAGCTTTCTTGAAAAGCGGGTATGTTTGACACTGTTCATTACTCCATTCGTAAATATTTAAATATCCTTCATGATATCATTAATCGCCTTAACCGCAAACGCCTTGCGCTCTGCCTCAGGCAATTCCGCAGCCATATCTATTGGCGGGTTAGTTGGCGTGTCCACCAAGAAGGCAATGTGACAAGCCGCATTCCCTCTTTCAATTTACCAAATGGACAGGATGCAATCATAAATATGCTCACCCTTAATAGCCTGCATTCTCAACATTAATCCATCCATCCTTTCAACCTGAAGTTCATCCTCCTCGTCTTCATTTTTTGGCCCTGGTTCGCCGGTACCAAGCTCATCCCCCCCTTTTTCAATCGCCAGTCGAAGATCAAACATTTCGCGCTCGAGCTCACTAGCTTCCTTGTCGAAGCCAGTTTCTCCATCAGAGTCGAGAAGGAAGTCTGTTGATAGATCCCCTTGGCTACATGAGGTCCACTCGTTCGTCCGCAGGACTTCCCTTATCCGTGGCATGCCCTGGAGTTCTGCAGGAATTTCGGAATTTTAGCAAGTTAATAACCCAGAGATAAAAGCAGAAGACCGGAAATTAATGGGGAAGAGAAATATAGACGAGATATAATATATAGTAGACCGTCAAAGAGAAACAATACAAACCTCCAAAATTATTCCTTTCATCCCCATTTCCCTCATCCTGAGGATCCCACGCTACAACCTCCAATTCGAAATGTCCCATCTCAGATAATTCGTCTTCCCACCACCTAATACTAAACTCCAAAATCTGTTCCACTTCATCATCACCGCTGTCCTCTAGTCCTCCCAAACCATTTCTCTTCCCCTTCACATTCTCCGCTTTCTTCTCCCCTTCATCCTTCCCCACTAATATAACCAACCCCGGAACCTCGCCCAACCCACCGCGCTCCTCCTCAATTCGATTCCTAACCTCCGCAACCGTACTCACAAGTTCCTTTATGCCTTGCGCAATCCCCATTCTATGTTCCCTGTCCCCTGACATGTCCGGGTCATCATCACTGGGAAATGAGACCGATGGCGCTATGGTCGGCCTCTCTATGCAGACGACAATGGCACCAATGACATCTCGCACTTCCCGAGCTTCATCGGAAAGGAATTCTGATCCCCAGGCGGCGAGGTTATTGTGTAGGGGTAGCTGAGAACCCGCGTCTATACATCCAGTTTCGTTTGGTTGGACTTGCGTTAATGAAGGTGCGGATGCACTATTATTATAAAGGAAAGGAAGCTCGTCGACCCATATCGGTATATCCGCCGTGTAATATTTGGTCTCTATTCGTAGTGGCGAATGTGTGGTGTATCCAGCAAATGTAGAGCTTACGACGACGTCGTCTTCTGCACTACTCGGTGTGAAGGGTTCTAATCAGAGCCAAGGGCGAAGAAGGAAGTTATTAGGCGTTCAGGGCACGTAGACACAAGGATATATATCACATTCTCATAGCTCACCTGCTTTTCCATCTGACTGCGCGTCGTTTGTAGCTTGAGGCGCATTTGTGACCGGGACTCCAGTTAGGCTGTGAAGAAATGGAGGAACAACGTTGTGGGAGTGCGGAGCTGGGGTTAGGATTAAGAGACGGCGTGGGTTTGAGATCCGTGGAGCCGCTTTTGTATTCTTCAAGGACTTCTCCTTCTGTGATCCTGGGGAGGACATCGTGAGGTTCAGCGTGAGGGCATAGGGTTATGAGGTTATGGCGGGGAAGAGTCAGGATTGCGGGGGAGCGGGATGGCAGGAGGAATGTGGTGATATCATATACTTATTCCCTCGAGGCGCATGGGATTTAGCCGTCAATATATTAATGAATAGAGAAATCGTCTAGATTGCGACGTACTTATTGTAGATAGATGAGTGGTGGATTCCTCAAATCGGTCAGCTTGAAGGCTATTGAGAAATGTCTGGCCCAGCTTAATTTCGGAGATCCCGCATCAGACCAACAACTATGCTTCCCACATGCGCCTAAGATGGTTTGCTTTTCCAGCACAGCCAAACTCAGGGGCCTGACATCTACATTTACTATAATCTGGGATGGCATATGGAGACTTTTTTCATTCTAACTAGCAGTTATTTAGGGAATATGAAATCCGCATTTCAACCACTAATGAACAAACCCATGACTGTTTCAACAGAAAATGGTATCTATATTGCTCCAATTTGCTAATTTCGTCCCTTTTCTTATCCATATTTTCGGACCAGTCCATGTAAACGTATAGCTGAAATAACTTCAGAAGAATGGCACCTGTATTCCGTGGAGACGGCCTGATACGAGAAGACGCCCAATCGTTCAAATTTTCATTCATCCGCGAAAAAAGAATAACTCCAATTATTCACTACTAGAAAAACAATGTCATTTTAACCCCTCCGTTGACCCCGAGCTCTGTTGACAGTGGCTCTGCCTCTCGCCAGACCAACACCTCTGCCGCGTTGTCCTCTCGACCGGAACATGGGTGCGTTTCTAAACGACGAGATATATTAGTGACTTTTCCTAAATCGTACGGACATCTGAAAAGAGCGGCCAACGCATCAAAAATGGAAGAAGAGCAGCCCATCAAAGCAAACAAAACATGAGGTGGCCAAAACACGCGGGGTTATATTGATACCATACCTCAGCATATCCGGTACAATGAAAAATCTCACATGGCTCCCCCGAATGTAGACCTGGTCAAGATGCGAAACACGACCATCGCGAGCCGTGACGGTAATATCTTTAAGTTGGACGTTCATGTTATCTTCGGCTGTTTGCGCGTAAGTCAACCCAAGTCAGCAAAAAATTTCGCATATAATGGCAGTCATGGGCCCTCGTTCATGGAACCTCGACAATCTTCACAGCCAGAACGATCACCAATTATGGAATCCGGATATAGTCCGCGCACCTTCAAGCAGCTTTCCTCTATAGACTTGCCCGGAAGTGATCTCTAATGTAACGACATGGCCCTACAGGTAGCAACGGAATCGTAAGTAAACAGGTATTTAAAATCGAAGTACTACATGCGACAAAGGAACAGGATATCATTTGCGCCTATCGATAGAAAAGTAGGGTATGCGCAAGGAAGGCGCGCAAATGGGAAGGACACTTACTTGCGCCTCATTGAGGAGCTTGATGGGGATTCCGATAGTACTCGTTAATTTACCCATCTCGAAACTGAAAATGCGCCAAAGCCGGGAAACTGAATATGTAATTGAAATTGAATAAAAAAACCAAATAACTCAGCGTATATCGTTAAATAAAAGTCCAGATAATGCCAGTTAGGGTCACGCGCAGGTCATGGCATCACTCGCGGATTGTCAGAAGAAGCGTGGTTGGAACAGGAAGACGTTGGTTCAAGTTAGTTAGTTACCGCTTTCGGCAATATTGCATCTGCCAGCAAAATTAAGCTTTGGAGCCGCATCTCTCCACTCAAGTTTCAGCTTCATCTTTCACATCAACATCAGCATGAATAACATCGTCATCATCAACAACAACAAGCAGACTTCCGTTCTGGCCCTGGGCAGACAGTCACTTAATATATTTAGTTAACAAGTCAATTATTTTCCTTTTTCCTTTTCAATTACATCCTATGGTACCAATAAAATTATCTACCTCCGTTTATAATACATCTTAGCTTTTCAACCCCGCTGAAGCTGGAGCTACATATCCCTCCCCTCCAAATATAACTACACAAGAGAATTCCCCTTAATATAGAGGCTACCATGCGGCGTCCACTCAATCCAAACATTCCGGCTTTCAATCTTGCCATATCCACGCTGTTCCGAAATCCATCCCTCCTGGTCCCCAATTACACCATCCCAACCTTCCTTCAGCTCCCAGAAGAAAACCTCGGAGATCACCTTATTCCTTCCTCCTACTTCTCCACACCAAGCAGCAGTTCCAATCGACATCAGTTCCCGCCCAAAATTCGTGCCCTCGTAATCGACAAAGACAACACCCTCACCCCTCCAGAATCCCGCATAATCCCGCCCGCCTACCTGCAGAAGCTTAAGGACCTCCGCACCAATCCTTCCTCCCCCTTCAACATGCACAATAACCCGCACGGAATGCTAATCGTCTCAAACACTGCAGGCAGTGATCCAAATATTGCTCTTTATGAGGAAGAAGCAGATCACATCGAGTCGATCCTGTCCCATTTACAAATCCCCGTTTTCAGATCCGGCGTCCCTCTGAAGGCCGTTGGTTCTAGCGAAGCTTCAGAAGTTCCGCCAAAACATCATGCGCTAAAGAAACCGTTTTCATATCCTTCCATTCTTGCCCACCTTCGTGCTCAGAATGCGATCACTTCTCCTGACGAGGTCGCGGTAGTGGGTGATCGCCTTGGCACAGACATAATTATGGCCGGACTCATGGGGTCGTGGAGCATTTGGACACAACTGGGGGTGACTGTCGGTGTAGAGGGGAATGATGAAGGGAGGGAGGGTATGGATTTTAGAGGCAAGTTGGCCAAATTGGAAGTGAGGTTAGAGCGGTACCTAAGGCGAAGGGGAGTTGCGCCAGCGGTGCCGAGAGGTTGGGAAAGTTGATCGCAGTGGACTCTAGAGGTACGGGTAGGTACGGATAAACCCTTTGAAAGGAACGGGAGCAACAACTTTTATCTTTTATTTTGGTTTATGGGAGGTCTATAAGACTTTTTCTTGGGAATGCCCACTCTCAATTCGTCCGTGGTATTAATTGACAGCCAAATTTGGGTGGATGTTTTTGGATAAGGTTCCACTCGCATTATTTATCTACATTGCTCTAGGTATGTCAGATTCTCAATTCCATCTTTATAACCCTGATAGAGCTAAAATTGTCCTCCATCATTACTAGACACGAAAAGTTGTATATCTATAAGTTTCCAGGATGTCTTGTCTACGCCATTGCTGGCACTGCCAGGAGACACCTATTTATCCATGCTCCGGATCTCTATCACTGGCATCGGAATACGCGAAGGCGTACTTGTTGTGACGATGAACTGGTATAGACCAGAGTCGAATCACTTTCCTCAGCCTGCATCGACGGAAAATTCTCTACCGTGAGAGACGATGTACTGTGCTGGTTTATGATGGCTGAATTTGTTGTTGGCAGCTTCAAAAATCACTGGGAAACGTAGACAACAAAATGCTAAGGATAGTTAATGCCTATATTCTAAAGTCAGCAGGATGGAGTCTGCTTGAATGGGGAGTGTAGAGTCGCTACGGGCTTCTTGCGCACGGCTCTGACACCTATTCCCGTTCTCATGCAGGGTGATCTTCTGTGTCTTGTATATATCGATCAGCTACCGCAGAATTGAGTGTGATTGAAGTCTTTTCAAACGAAGCTCCTGGGGTCCTTTCCCTCTCTTTCCTGGCAATGGGAACAAAACGTCCGAGCATAGCCGGATGAAGTAGTGTTGGTGATTACAAAAAGGCGAGAGTTTCCTCTTCTACTGGTACCCGGGGCTTACAATTATCTTCCCAAGGTGTGGCTTCTACGACTCCGCCCGTGTCAGGATAGCTCAGTTACATATGTTGGTGGTTTACGTACTCGATATCGTATTCGCCGTTTGCATCGAACAGACTTTGAATTTGAGATTTGGGGGCCTGGACTCGAATCGTACATGAAACTGCCAGCTAGGTGAGAATATGTGAGAAAAGATGGGGGCTATGCTCCCAGCTGGAATCGGGAAGCTCTCGGATTTCTCCTTGCAGGACTGTTCCCTTTGTGTCAAACGAGAATTTCAATATCTCTCATGCTCCCTACCATCCGTCTTTGGCTCCTCTTCCTTCCATTGGCGAGTTCCTATGGGGAAATACATGGGATTTGCCACGATTCTTATCTCCCCTTGTAACCTCCGGCGCGGCAGAATATATTGAGCGAGCTATGTTAGCCAAGGACCTTGAATTGATATCATCGATCTCTCAGCCTCTCAGGCAGCTAGCTACCCGAATCCCACCTCTCTTCATCCTCCACAGCCATAATACTGCCCAAGTACTATCAAATTATACACATATATAAACAATCAGCACAACTCCTTTTTGGCTCTTCGCTTCAGAATATATATATACATTTTGATGGCCACCCTGCCTAGTTACATGTAATGGTTGACTGAGAGTCAGGAGATACACATTGATCCGATTTACACTGCTAGTTGGGCGATACAAAGCGCACCAGCTGCTCAAACCGTCGCGTCAGATAGGAGTTGTTTAGCATCTTGGCTAACCCTCGCCGCTGCCTCCAGGGACAAATGGTCGGAAGGCTCTACCAACAAGGCTACTTGTGCCGGTCCATGAAATAGGAGATAGAGGGTAATGAAACACACATCTTCCTCCGCTAGAAGCATGACCTTGTTTTTCGATCTCCCGAACAAGCACGGAAAAGCTGGGGTGGTTCACGGCTCATCATCTGTGACACTGTATGTACTGTACATGTACATGTATCGAACTTGCTAGCTAACAGAGTCATCCAAAACGAAACTCGGGTACTTGCTTTTGTTTCATCAGGTAAATTAAGTACATGTGTTTGTTAACCACGAGCGATCAAATCGGCTTATTGAGTACGTAACCCGAGAGCCATTTTTGCGTTCAGCAGAGGACCATTGGGTGATTTCAAAACAAGAATACATATAAAATCACACCATTCCACGAACAGACACTCTGCCGCGTCCTCTTTACCATCCATGGATATATGCCTTCCGTATTTTGAGGCGTCGTGATGGCCCTTAAGTCCCGTATTCTAACCACAAAGTGCCGTGATAGCAAGCAGGGATAGGGATAGGGAATCAAAAAATAGAAAACCCTTGACCTGAACGAGGCAAAGCTGCAAATCAAGTCGGTTGTTGGCTGCTGATGGGCGTTCAGTCGAGTCATGCGTGCAGATGTTGTAACGGCTAGGTGTTTTACGTGAGTTGACTTCCCGGTTAGAATATTAATTGATGATAAAAAATATCTTCGGATGTCTATGGGTGGATGCCATGCAGAGGGAAGCTGGGAACAAGCATGAAGAGATATGAGTGATTTATTTGAGTACAGTACCCAGCTACATTAACACGTTATAAAAGGAGCATTGAGCTTTTTATTTACTTTGTTTTAATTTATTTTATATTTCCCAAAAATAACTACCATCGAACGTTTGAGGAAGGGTACACTTTATTAACTCTATCTTCATCAAATGAAACCCTCCCGGCTTACAGACTACATCAATTCGTTCCCGAATACTCCGTATCCATCCTCCCCACGCATTGGCCTGCCTAACGAGCGGATGCAGAAGACCGGGGGAAGGATTATTATTTAAAACGAGAACAATGGGGCTAAACCCCTTTCACCGAAAGGTCGCTGAGATGCCCAGCCATCACGGCCATGACAGCCCTGCAGGATCGCATCGCCAATCCTACCCTATGTACGATTAGTGTCTTGGGATTCCTTCACGGCGGTCTGGATTTCGTGCTAGGCACCGCGACCTGGTCCAAATCGGATCATCACATGGCCCCGAATGTGCCGGAACTTGAAGGATGCCATGTCCCAACCCCAGGATCCTGGCGATTTGGTAGTTGGGTTGGTAGTCGGGGCGTCGGCACTGGCGCGGGCCCCCATTTATCCCCTTTGGCGGTTGGGATAAAGGACCCATATAGGCACTAGCAGTAGCTTGGTAGCTGAAGCTGGCAAAACCCTGCTAACAGTACGGAGTATTCTGGAGGAAGTCAAGGAAGACAATCTAGCTCCAGTCAAGGCCCTTCCTCTTTCTCATCAGCAGCGATAACACCGCAGTGGAAAAGGGGCCCAGAGAGTGATCGACCGCTCTCTCGACCAGAACATGTCATATTTTCTGCTTTCTTTTTTCTTTCTTTCTTTCTTTCTTTTCTTTCTTTTTCTTTTTTTGCTTTTTTTTAAATCGGATGGCGCTGACGAGGGCGATCTACTGCGCGACGTCAGTGGGGACTGACTGTACAGCGTATGTCGATTTCTTTCTTTCTTTTTTTTCAAATCGCAGGATCGGCAAGAAGATTCTGGAAGAAATAGTTACTCCCGCGACGGCTGAAAGCCGTTTCGGCAACACAAGTTACCCTTGTTTAGTATACTCCGTCCAATGCTTGGGACTTACATCAGTCGAGGTATCTTCGACCACTGCACCGGTTTCTTAAGAGCAGAAATAGCTTAAGCACTGCTGGAAGAAAGGCTAACCCAAAAGGTCCAATAAATAAAATAAGAAAAAGATATATGGGAACTGGTGAACGATGGACTTTCTATGGCCATTGGTAAAGACAATTCTATGTGTAAATAGAAGTGTCTGGACGTACCTTTGTAGCAAACATGTACGGAGTAAGCGTGTTCAACATACGAGTTATGAACGCTAGCTACCTAGTTGCCTACCTAAGTATCTATTGATTCCCTATTCTATGGTTGGAGCCTTTTTTTTTTTTTTTTTTTTTTTTTTTTTTTTTAACATATATGCGAAATTACGTCTTGCAACTCAGCAAAGCCTGGAAAATATCTATAGTTAAATAAATAAATACATCCAGGATCAATGGGGGGGCTGTGAAAAGCCGCTGCAAGCGCGTTAGTGTTGCGTGTGTTCTGATGCTTTGGACTTCGATCTAGTTACAGAACCTTAACCTGCAAGCCTTGCTATATGACATTTCCAATGGGATGGATTGTCTTCTTTTTGAATGAATGGTTAGGAAAGGGCTTTTAACACATGAGAGTTGAAGATGATAAGAATGGAGAAACATTTGAATCAGAAGTGGGTACAAACAATCATCAAGTGTGAAGTAACTATGAAGTGAGCTCTATATATAAGATGTATAGTTTGAGACAGCATCCCTCTTCAATCTGTGGTCTATTCCTTTGTTGACATAGGTTGAAATATCAATGTTATCTGAACTCTTAAACATTTGTCTCTATATATAAGTACATTACATGCATCTGCAAAATCTCAAAGATACCCCTGGCCTTGCTTTGCTTCCCTCTTTCCATCCATAAAACACCTCCATATATTCACAATTGAATGTAGGCACTCCTCCACTCCACTCATGTACAGCTAGTCACAACCTGTGCGCAAAATAACTCAAGGTGCAATTAACAACTGAAATGGGAAATAGTGGGTTCTTGAGATTAAAGAAAACAATGAGAAACCCATGTTATACTACATAGTAACCTTGTAGACCCGCGATGCCATGTCTGACTCGGAGAATTTAGGCAAAAGAGGGGAAACCAAATTTTGGATATAGCGTCGTACAGTACCTGAACTCAACCGTCGCAGGTGGAGTAGCACATCGCAGGACAAACACAGCCAGACAGGCACTGCAGTGTAGCAGTCATGGGCAATTAATTGTCAACGGGCGAGGGAGGGTACAGCCACCTGTGGACAGCTCTACTTACTACCTACCTAGGTATAGATAGCTTGTATGGCACTGTGCATTGAGATTATTCGAGGGTGTGCTGAAACATACAGACAATATCATACCTCTATGTTGATACTAAGTAGTAGAAGGAAATGCGGCCAGTGAGCTTGAGCAGTGTTAAAATAACTACTAGACAGAAAGCAGGCGGGAAATGAGAAACACATAAACATAATAATGATGATGAGAAGATTCTTCTATACATAAAAACGAACCTGATTATGGAATAACTCATTTTCCCCTCTTTTTTTCTGTTTCTTTCAAAAAACTTCTCTTTTTCTTTCATCTTTCTTTTCCTTTTTATGCCTGCAGAACACACCTGGTTTTCTTTCATGGGGCTTGCATGTTGCATACCGCGAACCACGCACGGCGCTCTGCATACCGTATACTGCACTGCATATATGCAGGGTGTCGCCTGCAGCCTGCAGCCTGCAGCTGTAAACCGGAAGAATATTCCGCGAGTGGAAGTTATATGGACAAAATTTATTTTGGATATAAGGTAGGTAGGTAATAATAAGATGAAATAGAAACTCCTGCGTAGAGCTGAGCGCGGGGTGGGGGGCTGGCGGGCTTCGGAGGAATAGAAATTCTCCGGATACAAACGTCACCTAGGGTACGTAATTGTGCATGTTGTGCCTACATACCTGGGTAAGTAACAGGGAAAACATGGCAAGGAGAATAACTACAGAGTGTGTATAATCTGAGATCAGAATCAGACTTTTCAAGGCCACATCCATACTACTGAATAAGCAAAAGAAGGTGGATTGATATAGCTGTATAAACGTTCTAATCTGTAGATCCCCTGTGATTGACGGTTTGGCGGCGGCAAGGGGCGTTAAGGTTCAGATGAGTTTAAAAGAACCTCCGAGTTTAAGATGGGAAGAAAATAAAGAGAAAGGGGAAAACTAGATAAGAAGAATAAATAGCTCATGAGATAACAAAAGAAATAGAAGCAGGAGAATGAATATCTGATTCTGATAGATAGATTGAAATAAATATTCAGTACATTAAAATAACTATAGCAATCTGAATTGAGCAGCAATGCTGTACAGTGGTCTGACTCTTAAGTTGAAGATATCAGTACTTTCTCTTTCTGATTTTCTTGTTCAATATGTATAGATATAAATATGAATATCAATATTCATATAAAGAAGAGAAGAAGATCAACATTCAATCACATCAATTAATTGACTATTCTCATTCTACATATAGCTTTTTCTGCTTTCATTTTGTCTTCTTCTTTCTCTCCCTTGTGCGCGGGCAAATACACATAAATAGATTATTTCTATTTGTGTATATTGTCGCAGTCCCTGTCGCCGTCGAGTCTGAGCCGGATATCAATATCAATATAAGAAATCATGGGGTATATTATGAAAAAAGCGAGGGAGGGGATGAGGGTTTGGATGTCATGCAACAGTGCAAATAGTTCGTCGGAACGGACATGTGCATGCGTGTTTTCTTGCAGTGGAGTGTCTTGCTTCGGAGAAAATAATAATAGCTTGTCAATAGTCTGTATAAGCCCAAGAGGACCCCTCCCCGGGGGGGGGGGGGGGGGGGGTGGGTTTGCATTTGGTTTGTCGGGTATTTTTTTTAATTGTTTTCTCATGCTGCTTGTCTCAGAACAGCTATGGTACGTACGCTCGCTGCCTTGGAATGTTACTCCATTGCCTTGGGGGGTCGAAGGTGAAGATGCGAACTATTTGCAATTCTGTAAATTATAACAGACGATGGTAACTAACTTACTCCACAACAAAAGCGAATGGTAAGGAAAAGAGAAGGAAATGGCTGGGGGAGCAGGAGAGTGCCGGCGCCTCGCTGCCTGGTTACATGGCATCAATATCTCTTGCTTTAAGAGTACCGTTTTTTATTTTTTATTTCCTTTTCCGGTGATGCTGTCATAGTAACTGTACATAGAGTTTGTGCCTTACAGAGTGGAGTATGGATTCCCAAGGTTTTGACTAGGCAAAGCGGGCGGGAAAAGGCTAGATATACTCCGCACTTGTAGGCGTGTGTAATGTACTGTACATGTGTACATGTGTACCCAGTCCTTGATGGGCCCCGCCCCTTTTTCTTTTCCCCTGGTCCTGTCAGACCGTCAGACCGTCAGACCTGCAGAATGCATTGGATCTTTTCGCTGTTTCTGTACGAAGTATACGTTATCCTCATGGTCCTACTTATTGAGTAGTGGATGGATCCATGCTAGTTAGTAACTTGAATCATGGGTAGTGCAGTGGGCAGGGAGAAAGAGGCAGAGGCAAAGGCAGAGAGGGGCATTACTTGAAGCCTGGAGGCGTAGTTTGATTTTGATTTTGTATTTTCGGATCACGGCTGACAGCTCTTGTGTGTCAGAAGTGTGTCAGATATGTAGTCCGGCTAGCTACAGATGGAAAAACAAAATAATAAATAAAATAAATAAAAATAAAGCAGAGTTGAATTCGATATAGAGAGCTTTGATGTTGATATCTTGAGGAACCTATCACCTTTTCTCTCCAAAGTGGCATGGTGTGGCATAGCATAGAGGGGGGAGAGAGGGAGGAATCGGACTTCGCCTCAAGCGTCAAAACCGCACCACTTGTTTCTTTTTTTAGGTGGGACGACATACATATATGTCCTGGGTATAGTCTGTATATATTCCGCATATCTAGTATATATATATCAGCATCTTCGTATGGAGTGTAGAAAAGGGGGAATTGAAAATAACCTTATATATTGATTTATGGACAGTAAGTACCTCAGCTGACAGTATTTGTTTGCCAGGAAAGCCGGGTACCTGGTATTTGCCCAACCATATCTGGGAAGCTTCGTTGTAGGATTGATTGGCCACCGCGATCTGGCTAGCCGCTTACAGCAAAACACGCTTTTCCAGTGTCTTTTTCTCTTGTCTTTTTCTTATTTTTTCTCCGGTTTCAAGGTTTGTGCCTTGGTGGGGAGCAAGGTTCCAGTCAAGGTTCCAGCCAGGCGCCAATCAGCAGCGGGTTCCGGCGCCAACACTAGACTGGGTTGAGACTAGCAGCCAGTCCTTGGTGCCTTGTACCTGGAGTCAGTCTAAGCCAGGCTCTGATTGGTGTGTGGTTGAAGTTGTGTGTCGTTGTTGACTTGTGGTGTCGTTGCGGTTTTCTGTTGGTGTGGTTGAAAGTTGTGTGGTGTGTGGTGTGTGTGTTTCTGGCTCCCCGGGGGGCGGGAGGGAGTCTCCCCCCCCCAAACACCCCCGGGGGCTCTGCTATCCTCTCCTTCTCCTCCTCCCTCCCCTTTACTCCTTTCCTCCCCTCCCCCTCTCCCCCCCCCCCCCCCAGCCTATACTGGTCGTCTTTTTCTTTCATTATTTATTTCCTTTTTGCCCCCATCGTCTGTCTGCTGCCCCCATAT